ATTCCGCCTTCACCTTTCCATCACCGAAGACCTAGAAGTACGCTGGCATGGTGTTCCAAATTTATATTATGTTGTGGCTATTCCAAGGAAGATTGTGTCACATTGGTACAAATATCTGACTGATAGGTAGACGAGTTAGAAGCACGAGAATAGCAAATATCTGCTGCTGCAAATATCTCCTGCTGTGGAGGGCTGACAGTTAGGCGCCACTCGCGATCACAGTCTATTCTCGTATGTTCCACAGCTATGGCTTTCTTCTACGACCAGCGTTTTTTTAAACATAAGTTAAAACTATACACTTAAGCACATTTCTTCTTTCAATATTACAAATAGAAATCAAAAATAGGTCGATTATATCTATTTATCTAAATACAAGAAAGCAATGTACATAGAGAGGATAATACCTCCCTCTGAAATCCGGGAATTATGATTAGTAATAGTAATAATCAAGAGCAACATAGCAACTGCCTGGTTTTAAACTAAGTAATTCACTGTACTATGAGTACCAGAGCAGCAACGGAATTCTTTCGATACGAATTGAAAAAAGTTGATTTCCTAAATTGATTTTACCGGGAATCGAACCCGGCACCCCTCATCCAGTGTCCACAGTGCAAACCGTTGGGCCATAGAGGTCGTCGAATCGAATTTTTGTATTGTGTTTTGTTTTATATATTTTTAATGTGTAAGTAATTAGCAATTACTTTATATGAATTTAGTGTATTTAAAAGAAAAGATTTGAAATTGTAAGTAAATGTTGCTTACTCATAACAGAACTATCTTCAAAAATGTTTATTGTTTTATTATATAAATTTAAACCCTTTTAGCCTATGTTATTGCTATTTAAGTATAATATTCGGCACACGTGTATAGCATAGTTCAATCTTTTTCTGTATTCATTAATATGTATTGTAATGAATGTTTGTACCAAAATGAATTTAAAAAACTACCACCATAAAAGTGGCAACAATTGTTTTTCATTAAAGAGTTCTAGGAATTCAAGGTACGGTTGAAGAATTCCCAAACGGAACAACAATTTGCAATCAGACTTTCCTTTGGCGAATAAATTAGAAGTTGTCAGCGAATTAGAGGTCGAAGAATAATTGAGGTCATTACGTGAGACGTGACGCCAGCATCCGTACTTGGAAATATAAGTTCTCATTCCGGTTTTGCAGGCTAAAGTTCTAAGCTCGGCCTTTGACCTGACACTTCTTTAATACCAGTGTATTTTAGTGCCCGCTGTCGCCACATATCCCACCTTTCCGAAATGTTCTTTAAGTAGGTAATAAATAATTCGAAAATGTAATAGTTGTTTCGCAAAAATACGTTTTTAACTGTATGCTGTACATACATACCTACATATGAATAGTCAAAATACTCATTGCTAATTAAACTTTACACTTTTCACAGAAAGCTTAGCGATATCTTACAAAAATTTTTATACTATTATTTTATACTAACTATTTTTTATAGTAGCTTTGGTCAGTTTATATACTTCAGACTTTCGCGATTTAAGATTTCGAGAATATCGTAGAAAACAACTTTAATTACAATATTTTTTTATGATACCAAGGGACCGAGCGAATAAGTCGTGCGCCTAGTGGTAAGCGACACGCCTCTCCATAACAGGTTGCTGTGCCACTCAAAGCTTTAAATCACAAAGATCTGAAGGGAACTGCCCCTGCGCCCGTCACCCAGACATAAGTTGACAAGTCCCATGTGTGTCACCAGGACCTTTATTTACCCTTTAAAACCGGAACACAATAATGCTCACATTACCGCTTGGCGACAGAAACAAGTAAGGTTGGACGAACTCTGAACCTGAACGGAGAGACGTGTAAAGCCGGGTACTCATTAGCGAGCTGTAACTGTAACCGTTGCATGTTATGTAATCAAAAATCATAGTATGTAGGGGAAAGGTGTACCAGATGATCCCATTAAGGGAGAATAATAATAATCATCTTTATTATCTCTTTACAAAGGCGTTCCATTAATACTATATTCTTATGGCTAATCTGCTAAGGAGAATATACATATACAAATGTCTGAAATACCTTTGCAAGAGGCTGGAGTCCATACTAGGTATAGACCTGTGTCACGGATCTCCAGGCTCTCACCTCCGGACATGATTGAGCTTAACATAATAAATCAAGATTGCAGCAAATCTAATTATAAAACACAAATTTAAAATATTGGATGAACTGGAGAATGGTGGTACTTTAAAAGATATTCAGCTTAAAGCAGATGTAAAAGCGTTGAATGATAGAAAATTTATCTATTTACATGTTGTCTTACTAAAAACGTTTTATTTTTTAATCTTTCATTATTATGTTTGAATATTTTTAAAACCCTACTAAAGGATCGTCTTGGATACCGGGGTGTCCAAGATGATCCTAAGGGTATGGATAAGATGATCCAGGGGATCACCTTGCCTCTATTTAGGAAAATTTCTAGGTTTTGGTAGAAACAAATCTAACAACAACTTTTTAGACTGAACAAAGTACTCACTCATGTAATCTAGGTATATGAAACAACAGTTACGGAACTTCGAGAACAAATAATTAATTAATTTATATCTTACAGGTACTTAAGGATGAGCGATATTGTTTTTTTATGTCAAGTTGATATCCATCCTCGTCTCCATATCTTTAATGTACTTTACGAGCTCGATTTCCTATTTAACACATCTGATGAAAACAGTTTTTTTTTTCACCTTTCATTTCATTGAACTGACAGACCCTTTATTTTCACCTTTAGCCCATCTTTTCAATGACATAAGGCGTATCTACTGCTAACTATTTACTTGCCGGTCTAAGTGGCGTCCTACTTTTTACGCCTCTAGTTCTTTAGATCATAGCCTTCCGACCACCCACCACGAATGGTTTTTCTTTTACAATTACGCGGCCTGGTCTAAAACAACAGAAAACATTTATATTTCTTATTAGTCGAGATCGATTATGTAAAGAAATCCAGTCTTCTGCTATTTTATTCGTATTGTAAGCTATTTAATTAAGAGTTTTCAGTACTCAGAAAAATATACAAATAAATACAGTCCGTTAACAATATATACAGTGCAAGATAATCCTCACGGATCATCTCGTACACCAAAACCATAATCATCTTGCCCCAATTTAGTTATTTTTATTTTTTGTTCGGCAAAACAACCTGTATGCTGTTTACTGTTACCACACCATTAAATAGAGCATTATACAAAGCCACCAACACAAGAATCTTAGCAATTGATTGCTTAGAATGGAAGTTGCATAAGCTTTTAATCAACTTTACCTTAGATCAAACTCACACAATATTTGTTTTTTTCCACAAACATGAACTCGTCACTCACATCGCTATTACGAATTGGCTGATGAGAGGGAATATTAAGGCCTACATTTTACCGAAGGAAATATCTAGATGACGTTACTAGTTTCGCTACAATTGAAAACGATCATCTTACCTCTAAGAATCATCTCGTACACCTTTCCCCTACGTGGTTCGCGAGATTGCCGCGAGCGGTACGCGTGCGGTTCGCAGTGAGCCGTCCAATTGAAGACTGCATCTGCACGTTACAGTTACAACTCGATATTGTGTACCCAACTTAGCTTCCCACCAGGCGCACGACTTGTGATGGATATGCACATCAAGCTACACATTGACGGAACTTGTTCAGTTGCACTGGAGGTAATATTCGAACGAAACTGTATAGATACATACAAACGTAAAGTGACATCACTCCACAGTAAGCCCGAAACTTTGATCGTGTTTGGATAAACAAATATGCGCGATTTAAATCCGAAAATGTTATATTAAATATCAATAATAAAAAACGATTTAAGCGTGATTACAAAAAACATCTTTTGTCAGAGCAGATGTGTCTCGCTACATAGATATTTCCCTAATAAATGCGTTTGATACCTGTAAACCTGAATTTTCGTACCTATATATATTTATATTTGGTGGCTATTGTTACAATTTAATACTATGTTTGTAAACTTACGTTATTATTTGTATTGCTTACCTTCATTACTTACACTATTTACATTATTTGCTTTACATCTCACACTTTTGCTTGATATGTATATATATATAGTATTTAGAGTTAGGTATATATATTTGCGTGTGATGCACTTTGGTGGCATGGCTTACTGGGCTGCGATCGCTCACCATATGGTACTGGCAGAAAACCAGCACTGTTTGACTTCTCTCGGTTTACAGTATTTATGCTGAGTCAGGTCCATTTCAGCACAAACTGTAGTCATAGGTACATCAAAATTTTATAAGTTCTTATAGTATTTGTTTGTTTTTCTCACAGTATTTGTTTTTCTCGCAGTATGTGTTTTATATAAATGTGTATAAAATTAATAATGAATGAATGTTCTATGTGCTTTTATGTTATACTCTGTGAAGTGATTGTAAATGTTTTGTTTCTGTTTGTATTTGTGCTGAATAAATGCGTGTTATCTATCTGTCTATCTATCTATATTTCTAATTCGTTTTATTATAGCTATCGAAAACTCAAGACCTCTTTAGAAATAGCATAATAATTATTAAATTTGCCGCAGTTATATCAAAAAGCGGCATCTATCAATTCTGTAATAAACTTAGTGCTTTCCACACAATTGTCTTAATTACTGCCATCTACTTCAAGAGCAAACACTTTTGGAATGAAGTTGGAAACTTACCTCGTGAGAAATGTCGTACTTGAATTCTACCCACACGCCGAACTCAGCGACATCGTTGTAACATTATTAGTCGCTAGATGGCGCAAATATTAAAGTAAAAACAAAGAGCTATTGCAAATATTGCAAGACTTTATTATTTTTTAAATTCTTATGGAATTTCATAAGCCTAGTTACAAATTTATTATAATATTAATTATAACAATAAGTAGTAGTTATTATGCGCAAGAATTAAGTACTTACTTAGTACTGTAATAAATTGCCTTAAACCAAACCTCTTGAAGGTTTTATTTAAATATCATTAAAAAATGCGTTTACATTGCTTAATACTGATAGACATAGGTTCACATAAATATTTATTAAATTAAGTAGGCATGTATCTATCACAATAGTTAAGTGGTCCCTTAAAATTAGAATAGCTATACCGAGCTATGACCTCAAATAACTTGCAACACAAGAAACCAAAGAAACAGTTTTTATTAAACGGAAGTTTATGATACCATTTTTATAAAAGAGACATAAAAAAATTAGAGAAAGAAAAAATTAAGTAAGATTAATTGATGTTTATCGAGCACTAATTTTTGTTGCAGTTGATTGTTTCGCTACCAGGTGAACCGATGACCTTATCAAGGTGCTTAGCAGCAGGCTGAGTATAAGCGAGAATAGAAACAAAGTAGCAAAAGTAGAGTAAATTTTATTTTGTCTACAGTGTGCGCGTAGTTCAACCTTTATTATAGTATTGTACCTGGACAAAATCCAAGGACCCCTTAAAATGGCGATTCATGAAAGAGTCCACTGATAGATATGGGCCTCTGCCTATGTTCTGCAGTGGACGTTCGTGGAAGATTATACTTTTTTACTTTAAAAAATCCTTTCGATAACAAGCGCCGATTTATTTTTTCAATGGCACAATCTATTCACCTGCATTTTTTTGCTACCTTGACAAGTTTTAGATAGGGTAACAATACCTTTGTTTCAGTGCGTCATTCTTTCGGCAAGAATCTGTTTCCTAATTTTTAAAAATGACAACAAACATGAGATTTTTGTCATATCTCCCCAGTTTACTGGTTTGAAGTAGGCAAGTGTATCTATCTATAAGTGTATATATCCTTAACAAAGAATTTGAAAATTCTAATTTTGTTCTACGTTACGGTGACCATGCGAGTAATATTAGGCAATGATATTCAGTATCACTCTTAATCTCAATAAACAAATATTGAATGTCTGATCTTCAGAAGAAATGTTTATTAGATTTACGTTTTTTTGTTCAGTGGCTTTCTTATTTAACTGATTTCATACGTAAATCAGAACTTCGGGAATACTAACATAAACGCGAAAAAAAAACAAAGTAACAATTTTATATTTTTAGAAAATATTTAGGAACGCTTTGCGGTTCTCCTTAAAAGGTTTAATATAAATAGGTACATATTTAACAATATCATTAATTAAAAAATCAGCTATTATTACCAGTAGGCTGAACAATGATAGGGAGGCATTCTTTTACCTCTTTTGCAGCACCATTAACTACGTCCCTAACTTCTTTAGATAAAGGTATGGGGGACACGGGTCTTGAATTTTCGACATCTCGTTCGGCAACTTCTTCCTCGTCAATTATGGAGATGTCCCTGAGGGAAGGACGGTTGGACCGACGCCAGCCTACAACAAAAGTTACAAGATCAGCAATGTAGTCTTTAGTTGTTAGTCAGGTTTGTTAAGAGTAAATGTGTTAGGTAGGGTGTTAACATAAATAATAATTTGAGTGCTCTCGTCGTTTTAGTCCTAGTCGTATTTTTAACACACTTCAAAAAAGGACAAGGTTGTCAAGTCGCTGTATTTTTTTTGTGTATGCTACGATAATACTTTAACATTTGTGGACCGATTTCGATGATTCTTTTTTTTGTTGGAAAGGGAGTACCTCGGTAGTAACCCGGTGGCAAATTAAGAGATGAATCAAGAACTCTATTCCATTAACGGGTTTCAATAAAACTTAGCAAATATATATAGATACCTCTCACGTAACTTGTTGTATGCCACAAAATAATATTTTTATTATTTTAATCAAAACTTTTTCATGCATTATAGGTTCCATGTCGAAGAGTAAACAAAAGACTACAATGTTTTCTTTGTTTTTCATTTTAAAAAGCAAAAAACTAGGTGTATTTTATAATATACATAAAAACCATAATAAAAACGACATATTTTAGTTAAAATGCACAAAATGCTATTTTGTGGCTAAAACAAAGTAAGGGAGGTGTTTAACTCCACAAACTTTTGAGGTCAGTTTTTTTATAAAAAAAAGTAATTCAAAACATTTATTTGACTATATTAATTTATTGAAAATCATGATATTTTATTACCATAATTTTCATGTGTTTTTTGTGGAAATACTCCACAAGTTTATTATTATTATTGATTACGTATATCGAACACAAAGAAAAATTCCTTGAATCTGACTGAACTCGAACCAGTGTCTGTTGCCCCACGCCGGGCCCACTACTCTTAACCAACAGAGCTATAGAACTTAAATCTTAACCTAACTAATTTCTTTATGTATTTGTTATGGATCTTTATATTATGTTAGGTTAGGGTTTAGTGCACCAGTGAGAAACTTATGAAGTTACTCGACCAGGTACCTTTTCAAGTAGGTACCACTATTTATTTTACTTCTTTTATAACCTATTAAACACGATTGCGTGAATACACAGACGACAAACTTTTCGATGAGCTATCAAATCTTCTAAGTCCATAATACACAAATCTGTTGTTGGCACACTAGCAAGCACCTAATAAGCAAGTTCAGTTTGTATATACTCGTTAAAAGCATCCCAGAAGCAGGCACAGGTGACTGGTATGTGCATGTATGTTAAACTATGCCAGTACAAGGTTATTAGTATGTGTTTTGTGTATACATGTTAAATGCGTGCCAGTAATATACATGTGTAAGGTAGTAGTAGTATCTATACTCCGTAAAATTTTGTTTGATTTAAATATCATATATGGAGTTCTTAGGTTTTGGCGATTGTTATACATTTTAAATTAAACTTGTTTTTATGATCTAAGTCGAGCTTTTTACAGGTCCCATAGTCACGGCTGATTGAGATGGTAACGTCAACCAGTTATAGTTTGTCGACGTCAGTGGTTGACTGGCTTGCACATCGGTTTTCATAGTGTCGCCATTTCTGAGTTTTCATTTCCGGTTTGATCCTCGGCCGCGTCAATGTAGAAAAGTTTCGTAGCAATGGAGCCCCTTGTGAAAGAGTTCGTCCAGGGAAGTACTTGCCACCTTACCTATTTCTACCGCCAAGCAGTAATGTAGCATTATGTATATGGAGATCATTAGCAGTCCTTTTCTAATCAAATTAAATTTCCCGGACAGCAGTACCTATATGTATTATTATTCGTCCAACTGCTGGGCACAGGTTCATTTGAATTGTTAATTTTTGAAAATTCATACATACACTACATATAGCAGTATGTGTATAAAAAATACAAGTAGTAGACATATTTTATACATTTTTATTTGATTTACTGTATCTACATAATCATATCTGCCTGTTAGTGTATGTGTCGTTATATATATAATATGTATGACTAAAAATTGATTTCGGTAGTAATAGACCAACTGTTTAGAACGTCGTAACATTCGCAAATCATACATTTTTGACAAAATTTTACCTTCTTTCACAATTTATCGATAAAAGTCGACAACAACTACGTGACTATTTAAAATTTTACGAAAACTGGCAAAACTGCAAAATATGTCGTTTTACTCCATCATCAAAAAAGAAAGACAGACTATAGCTGCTAAACGGATGGACTGATCTCAAAGCGTTTGTTTTTTAAAGTTAATTTAACAGGTATGGTTCCTGTTAGAGTAGAGATCTCTATTATAAAATGTATATTTATTTTTCTTTCACTAGTTCGTGATAGTTAGCTATACTATGGAAATCCGATATCTTTATAATAATATGGTAACCATGATCTGATGCTGCAACTCGGACAGTCTGCAGACTACCCAACTCTTCAACTACTTACAGTACAACTAAGGTGCTTAAGATCATTAAATTGGTCGTGAGCGAGCTTGCCACGATAGGTGGCGCTGCGACTGTGCTTCAAAGTATTGTATGAAAATAACGACGCGCCACTGTAGCGCTTCTATTCTATAAGCGTTTTATTTGAAAGCTTAATTTCTATGTAGTGCAACTATACTATGAATTTCTACATCAAATCTTCTTATAATGTCAATACATCAACACCTACAATACCGGCACGCTATGGTGACCGCTTTGACAGATTACAGTAGTTCTCAATTCATTATCGAAAAAAATATAATCAAATGCGAGTCGCATCTATAAGTTTTTAGATTTATAACTAAAATTGGCAAGGGGTAGCTGATTAAAAAGTTTTAATAATACGAAAAAAGAAATGTTTACTTAATATATTTTTGTCAATTCGAAATCGCTTTGTTTTGCATTGCGCTTTGCCGCGAGTTCGCCGGAGGTAGAAGTTGTACCACTCAGCGATTCTTGTGACGTTCATATCAGAGTTAATTTTTTTAAATTTCGTATTTCGAAAAACAAATGCCGAGTTGTATCGTAAAATTATACATCCATAAATATTACTGCACGTCACTATTGAGAACAGTGTACATCAATTAGATCCTTCAACGTAGTTATGAATTAATACGAAACTTGATGAGCGGACAAACGTCAATACGGCCATCAGAACGTACTTTAGTACCTTTATCAGTATAATAATGTGCCAGACAACCACACCAATTACCAGGGCCCTAAGTCGGCTAATTTGAAATCATCTAAGTTTTGTGCTGACAGTGTCAATGGCAGGATTTTGACAGGATTTTGATTGGTACTCTGCTAAAAGTTAAGAGTAATTATTTGTCAGTGGCTAGTCATCGAGCTTACTATACAACTGCCATTGCAATTTTTTGGTATTCTGTTCTTCAATGGCGAGTTGTTGGTACGTCGATGGTGTAGGCTACTAATATTATATATATTTATTTAATTTGAACACTAAATTGCTGATCAAACGAGATAAAAATTAAGATAGTAATTTCCCTGTTAATATAGATTTTAAGACTTTCGTGGTTATTCACTAAATGATTATCACTAGTATCAGGTTTCTTACCACGGTATGACAACTTTTTATTTTCCCGATATTTCGGAACGGTTGCACGCTCCATGGTCACGGTATGACTGGACGGCGGCAGATGACAGCTTTATGAGCAGACATATCTGTCTACCCTCTTGCGCTGTCGACGACTACCTTCATCGCGATTTGTTGTGGCGATACCATTGTCACTCACTTTTTTCACACAAACCACACTCACTGTATCCACACGCGAAACTGAACTCGAGGTGTTTTTGTTTTTATTACTGCACGCACTAAGGACCGGATTCCATGCACTGGACAGTTTAAAACCATCATCACGGTTAAATGTTTTGTACTTCGTGATCTCGATGGCTTCTCGTACCAACCGTGGTATGTAGTGACGTTCTGTCGAGAGTACCTGGGGGCTACGCAACTCGATCCAGTGGCTAGTGTCAGTCTGTGTGAGATGTTGTGCTATAGCCGACTTCTGTGCATCATTGTTTTTTACTGCTCGGATGTGTTCCTTCATACGATTGACAATTGTTCGTTTAGTCTGACCGATATACGAGCACCCTGTGTTTGTAAAGGAAGGTGGTCTTTTGGTGAACGTAACATTTTTCCTATTTTGGTTAAGGGGGTGAAAACAGTTTTTATGGAAAACTTCCTTAGCGACCTGGCTATTTTATCTGTCACCCCTTGTACATAGGGCACAAAAACTGGTAGTCTCTGTACGTCAATTTGCTTCTTCCTTTTGTGTATTGGTTTAAATGTTTTTATTTTGTATCCATTCTGTCGCAAAACCGTCTTAACGTGCTCCTGGTGACAGACTGCTCATAAAGCTGTCATCTGCCGCCGTCCAGTCAACCCGTAACCATGGAGCGTGCAACCGTTCCGAAATATCGGGAAAATAAAAAGAAGTCATACCGTGGTAAGAAACCTGATACTAGTGATAATCATTCCCTGTTAATATTAAAATTATTCCCTGTTAATGTTAGTAAAACAACATCAATCGTTAGTGATTGAATGAATGAATACCATGAGTGCCGTTCCATTGACGCTCTATTGAGACTCAACTGCCATTGCAACGAAATTTTAGCAGAATCGCAAATAGGGAATTACAATAAGTGGTTTCAAAAATATTTGGAGACTTAGGGCTTTGGTCTTATACTAGAAAAGTCCCTGTACTAAAGTGATACCTCCATGAACACTACATCGACTTTATTTTTCGGTCATTTTCTGTTATTTTTGTAAACAACCATATTTATTCACTAATATTATGCTTCCCGAGTTTTGTGAAATAGAAACAAAAAACCAAAAAAGGAGAAAAATAAAAAAAAAGGAATTTTGTGAAAAAAAGAACCAAAAATACAAAAAAAATACAGAACACTTAAAAAAATGACGGTCTGTTTCGACAAATATAGGACGTCTGAGGGAAATCGCTTTCTCTCGCCAGAGGTTTAGTCAGGTCTGCCCTTATCGATTTTTGTCCAAAAAAAGTCGGTCTAATTTTGAATTTCTGACTGTCTAGTCAGTCTGGTTTTGTGGCCAGTCATCCGTGGAGGCTGGATGCGATAGTAACAGAGCCACGAGGATACTACAGAACACCTACACCGGAACTAATTTAGAGCTGGATGAGATCTACTCATCCAGCGCCCACATTGCACACCGTTGGACTGCCGAGGCCGTCAATTACAAAATAAAAAGTATTTGTTAGTAACACTACAACATAAATTAACAATAATTTGAATAATAAATGAAATTAGCACGATCCCCTTTTAAAAACTAACACAAAGTTTTTATTCACAAACAAAAATATTTCGTATTTAATGAACGACTTACTGTTAAATCGATTGAGACCGTCTGTAAAAATTTGGAAAAATTATTAAAATTTCTTGTAAACCTTCTTAGCTACATTATTATAGAAGAAAATATAAATTCGATATAGTTACAATTTTGTTGAATGTCAAAACGCTTAACCACCATAATATTCAATTATTTTTTGTGAAATTTCTCCACTAGTTTGTTATAATTATTAATACAAAGATCGAACACTTAGAAAAAATTACTTAATTGGCATGGTTGGCATAGCATCAAGCACAGTTTACTCGGAGACATCGGTTCGAATCCGGCCGGATCCAAGGATTTTTTTTCTAAATGTTCGATCTTTGTATTAATAATTAGATATTGTTATTGTATAAAGCGCTCATAACACGCTGTCTTCCTTCTCCTGAATGCCTGAATTAGAATTAGGAAACTTTTTCAGGGCAATATGTTTTCTTTTGAGCACTTCACGTTTCTGTACCTCACATTAAATTGATACTTTCAATGGATTAGAGTCATACTTATATAAAAAAAGTAGACAAAACAATTAGCCCGCCACGCGTCCTTGGAATGCATGGTTTCCCAAATGATTTTGGTATTACAGATTCCCGCAGCCATTCCGTATCTATAACGCGCAGCTGTGATTTCATCTACCATTTTGTTACAATTAATACAAAGACCAAACACAAAGAAAAATTCCTTTGAACTTACAGGACTTGAACTTGCTTCTGTATTCCAAACTAGGGCTACTGTTCTCCCAATTGAATCACAGATCGAGTGAGCAGGCCTTACTTCTAAGTGTTTGTTACAGATTTTTTGTGTTGGGATTTTTCGGTTCTTACTGTCGTCCTGTCATATCGTAGGAATTTTTCTTTGTATTCGACTTTAAACAAGTGCCAGTGTAGGCATTTGACAAAGAATAAATGAATATCATGGTTGTAAACCAATGCAATGTACAATAACAATCAATATTCATCCACCATTTAAAAAAATATGTCAAAATCGTTTGCGGCATGACGGTTAAAGGAAAAACGTTCGCTTTTGTCGTAAGATCTATTTCTTCTCACTTACAATGCCAAAAACGGTAGTGAGGTTCTAATATCAGAGGTAAAAAGGAAGTGGTATTTACTTTGACTAGTATCATTGCTAGATTTACGCCTTGTCAATTCAACACTTAAACCCGTTTTCTTTAAAAAATAAGAGCTTTTGTGACATCATTATTAACGCAACTATCATAAACAACGATGCCTCAATAGAAGGAGAGAAATTTTCAAATTAGTTTTGTCTACTTTGTTTCGGTGGCAATTTTACGTTATCCTGAAATATTAAATAATATTTCAGGTTATTACACTCGATTATGAAATAATATTTCATGATAATATTCTAGAAATAATAAAAATTGTCACCGAAATTAGGTGGAGCAAATTACCCAGAGGTAATGTGTAGTTGACACATATTTCATTGGAACTATAATATGTACAAGAGATTGTAGAGAAGTAGATAGATGTTTGGGCATCTAATATGTCATGACAGTTTTTTTAGAAGCATTGCAGAAGAGATGATCGAAGGAAAGAGAGGCAGAGGAAGACCGAAGCGAAGTTATTTACATGAAGTAATGGAAAAAGGTAATGTTGTGTTGTGTCACAAAATCAAAGTTAGGGCACTGAACAGAGATGATTATTGAATACTCCACAAATAAGAGTCTAGTTCTTAAATAAGAAGAGACGACAGTATTCATATAGCTATAACGATATAATATCTACAAAACATTTTGTTGTTTTTTTTTTTCAGAGAACTACTAAGTACTCTTATAATGAAATATCAAACACGAATACGGAAAGCCTTTTTACAGCTAATGGATTTTGATAGAGAAAGGTTTATACATTGTCTTACTTTTTTATAATATACAAACTTACCTTCTAGAATAGGTGGCTTCGTAGTTCTAGAAAGCAGTCTTGGTCCAGTGATAGTTATCACTATAGCTCCAATAGGAGCAGTTATTACAATGGACAGGATGCATATTGTGACAACAACTTCAGCATAGTTTACGAACCGTGCCATCGTTTCTGCGTCATATCCCGTTTCATTGTGTCGGGCCATTTCGTGAACTCTGTCAAGGGGTACTGGTCCAAGTGCGGCCTGTAATGAACATTTTATTTATTTTTAAGGTGTAATAGTGAATATATTATTCCTAGAAATTGTTTAAAAGAAAATATATTTTCTTTTGTGTAATCGGTAATGTAATAACGTAAATATGTTTTTCCGTTTCAATATTTATCAGGTATGAGTGTGGTATATGAAAGATAAAAAAAATTTATTACATGAAATACACTTGGCTACAAATTTGAAACCCGCCAAACTGCAGAGCAGTTCATTGGCGGATACACACTCTGATCATAAGCAATAAATAATTACCTATCGTACGTCATAAAATACACTCGCATGGATATATCAAAATCAATAGTACAAAGCTTAGTTATCTGAGATTTATGATAATAATTTCTTTTTAAATGTTAATTTAGATAAATTATTTTCGTCAAAATTCAGATCATTATATATGACAAGAATTAAATAATTTATAGTTCTTTGTCTATAGTAATTTATAGTTCTAAGTACAATATATTCTTTGTTGTTAACAGATCTAGTGGTATTAGAATGTTCAACACAATTCTTAAACTCATCCCTTCCGTATTCCTCCAAAGCTAATAATAGTTTGAATTTCTCTTGAACTGGCAATACATTACAAATCGAGAATAATTTCACATAGTTTTTGTCACATTTTTCCTTTACACTTTTATCCACCAACAATTTCAAGTACCTTACCTAAACCTACGCCCATAACTAAGGACCATACTATAGATTATATATATAGATAGACTCACAAAGCGCGTTATAGACGGTATACAAATTAGCCTCATTGACAATAAATTTAAGTTGAAAACATTTATCTAGTCAGTCAAAGTTTGGAACAGACATTTTCCACATGCAACTTCCAAGAAAATTTACTATGTACTGTTAACCCCAAATACTTAAAGTTCAGTAATTCTTTGTTTGTATTACAATTACGATTTGTTAAACGTGGGTTACACTTTGGCGCTGATAGCTTCATACATAAATAAATATTTATTACTTCGTTTTATGATTGAAATTCCATACAGCTAGGTCAAAATATAAACAAGCCTTGAATTACATTCGATAAACGATGAAAAAACACCGATATCGATACGCTATAAACGACCTCTATTAAGTATTTCAAGTAAAAACGGCAACAAGTTCAATAGTAACATTCAAGGTTTATTGAACAATATTCGCATCGGAAGCATCGTCGCGGGTGACAATGTAAATATGACAATAATATAAACTGATAATTTATGCGTGTTTTTAACTTAAGCCTTTTTTGTTAGACACTCACTGACTAATTACTGATACTAATACAACATCAAAGTGCCACTGCTGTACACGGGTCTCCTTATAACAGAGGGTATTACTCCGTAACTCAACCTACGGGCTGTGAACCTTCTTCGATGTTTTCCTTCAACATTAGCGAGTAGTTACGTAGCTTAGAAATGAAAATCATATGTACAGTCAATGTTTTAAGATTCCTGACCTCCTAGCTGATCTTTTGGTTCTGAGATCCATAACACAACAGACTGCCTCCGTGGCCGAACGGATACCATTCTGGTCTGCCACACAGGGTTCGATTCCCGGGTCGACATAACTATATGTATGGCCTACATTTATTTCTCTCGTAAGTTTGGGTGTAATTTGTGGTTGTCTATTGTGTGCCCATGGCACCTTTGATACAGGATTTCCCTAGTCTATAAGGTGTTTATTTATTATTATAGCGTATTTAAGTAAGTTAAATGTAAGTTGGATTTGCTTAAAAAGTTGCTTAAAATGTCATGCTTGTAATCACGAAGTCATATAAAAATTAATTTTAAGGCTCAAAGGTTAAGTGTTAAGTATATTTAACACTATTCTGCACAATTATCTACTCAGAACCAAATGGTCGGTTTGGGGTTAAGTATTTATGAGCAATTAAAAAAAACAATGATTCTTCCACAGGGCTACCACTGCTTGATGTTAATAATTATAAAAAAATGACATGAAAACCCTAAAACAAAAATAGATTAAAATGGCAAACAAGAGACAAACTTGTGCTACAAACACCTAATGCCTAATCAATTGATTTCATAAAGAAAATAAGATAAGTAGGTGGCATCGGTAGACTGTTTAGAATCGATTTCCGCATATTGCAGTTGGTGATAACACACTCGATGGTATCATAACAATGAATGAAAACAAGGTGTATGTTATTTACTGTTGTGTGTAGGAACCGGTGAAAGGAAAAACGGAAAACAAATATGTTACCACAAATATGTGACGACAATAATTTCAAATGTTATTAATGCATTGATCGAGGAACACATTCGGTCTTACATTTTGAAAATAAGTAAAAATGTGTGGCTATAATATATATATAATAAAAAGGCCCGACCTTTTTATATATAGTTCAGTTCCAACTCTTATTCGTTGTGATTTTAAACAGTATTATTTTAAACAGTCTTTATTAAGAATAAAGCATTTAAAATTATGCTAAAATTTTACTTTCTCTAAGCTTAATGAAAATGTTAAACGTTAATATCATAAAATACTGTTAAAAAGTATAGTCACGTTTCAATTAAATGATAAATTGGTAAAAACAAAAACTCAAGTCACCTGAACAGTGGCCTTGGCCATCCAAGCCAGACCGACGAAGACTTTCTCCTTGAAGTTTAGGTTACTCCGAACTGCACAGACGCTGGTGAGTATCGCTCGTGTAATTGCACATGCGCCTAAAATGCCACTACCAATTAGCACTAAGTCACCTGGCAACGCTGGAATCTGGAAACATAATTTATATTTTCAAAACTTCAGATTGTGAGTTTGTTTTTTTTTTGCTTTGGTAAGTTTTATAAGAAAAAAGCGAAGACCATAAGTTATTGTAACGGTTATATTTGCATGATATTTCAATAATAATGTTTGTATCATTTGGGTGTCATTCTTAATTTCGAACAACACTATTTCGACTGGACATTACCTCGAATACACATTAATTCGACGGAATACTACTTCGAAAAAACACATGTTCGATAGGTCACTAGTCCCACAGAACACTGCTTCGACAACACAAACATGGGTCACTATATCGACACAAAACTACTTCGATAACACATGTATTCCACAGGTCACTATTCCGATAGAACATGAAATCGACAAATAACTGTCAGGGCCGCTGCCTTGCCAAAAGCATTAGTATAGTATACAAAGGAGGAACGCTGCTATCATCTGGGGCACCTTGCCGCGGGGACCCAATTTTATTAATATAATTTAATCCTAGTTTTACGCTCCAGTATTTAAGCTTTTATTGTATCTTATCTGTATAATACAGTTACTTTAAAAATAATTAAAAAATATACACTGCTTAACTAGTTATTAATTATTTCTCAGACATATATATGTATATGAGATATTCCGCTAAGGAATAAAGTAAATGTGTTAGGAACCTAAGTAGTCTCAGTACAGCAAATATTTATAATAAATATTTCATGTTCTGTCGGAATAGTGACCTGTTGAATAAATGTGTTGTCGAAGTAGTTTTCTGTCGGTGTTTTGACCTACCGAATGTTTGTGTTGTCGAAGCTGTGTTCTGTCGGACTGTGACCTGTCGAACATCTTTTGTCGAAGTAGTGTTCCGTCGAATTAATGTGTAGTCGAAGTACAGTCGAGTTGAAATAGTGTTATTCGAAATTAAGAATGACACCCTTATTATTTGTTATAATTTTAGGATTTGTTTTTATAGTCACTGTGAAAGTCTAAAATATTATATTGTTCTCGTTGTCAGTACTAGACTAAGTGTCTTTTGAAATGATCCTTTACTCGTGATGATTCCTCACGTGTCACTCTAACAATTTTATACACAAAGAACCTATTTTCCTTTACGATAATCTTAATTAAAATGTAAATAAGTACTTAAGTACATCAATTTGGGCTCCAGTGACCGAGAACAGCATAGGTTCGAAGAACATCCAAAAGATTTCAAAGGCTGTAACAGCTGGATTGTCCTCGTGCTCCCAGCCGAGATCAGACCAGTTCTTGCAAGCAATAAACGCGAACGTTATCACTGCTAATGGACCTAAAATTCAAATTATTAACGCCTTATTGTAGTCTGTTTAATATTATATTTATGAAAATGAAACTGTTTTCAGATCTGTGGCGCGGATTTTCTTTTTTCAAACAAACCAATGTTTCGAGTTCTTTACAGGTCCAATTTTTTCCAAATTGCAGCAGTCGCAGAAATCTAAGAACTCGATATATTTTATCAGAAGATTTAGGCCGTATTAGGGAGAGCTCTATCTAAAAATAGGATATATAATATTTCCATACCAATCTAGCTATAATACCTAAATTTATAAATTTTACTTGATAACTTACCAGCTCCACCCCAACCGATCTCTTCAAAGCCGAGCATAGAAACAATGCCACCAAAGAGAAGGAACAATACTCTTAACGGCACCAAGAAGGCGTCATTTCTTTCAGGGACATATTTTACAAAATATCCCAAAATCAAACCAAATGCTATACCAATGACAACACTCAGTGGACCCTGTAAAAAAGGCCAAGATTACATTTGTTTTAAAGGGATATAATAAAAAGCTTCTAAAATTATGGTGTATGAAGTAAAAGTTCGGCCATATTGCATCTGGTGATTGACATCTGATGATACTAATATACAATTTTAGCAATAATGAACAAATTATTTATATACAAATGCTATATTGGCATCCAAAACTATCATTCGTGCAACAACTTTCTTAAGTGGCCTTTCATATGCGGTATGGGATGATAATTAGAAAAAATCATTGCCAAAAATATTAAATATTACATAATTTCTTGTTTTCATGTAGTTTTTGAGAAATCTGGTTGAAGCCATTATTACTTACTTTCTTTGCTAATAATACATAATTAGTGCATTTATATTTAGTAGACATGGATTCTTAGACGTAATATAAATAATTGGTATCTATCTTATTCCATACTTAAAGAAAGGTCAAGTAAGATGACAAATACGCTAATATATATAGATATAATAAAGACATAAATATCTACTAAATACACTACAGAAAAACGATAAAAGAAATTATATAACAATTACATACCGATACAATTGTCATAGTAAGGGAATTACTCGGAAAAATCACAGAAATCAGTATTCCAAAAACAGCTACGCTGGCTGCGTCATCAATTCCAGAAACCGCCAGGACCAATGTGGGTATTCCTTTTGATACTCCGTAACCTTTTCGACGTAGTCGCATTAGACAGGGTACTATTACAGCTGGTGATACTGCAGCTACTATTGAACCTAGTAGAAACGCTGCAAAAGAATTAAATAAAAATGCTACTTGAGACATTGCAATTACGATCATAAAAAGTGTTGATGTATTTATGTATATGTATGTCTAGAGTTGATGTTATGGTTTGTGATTCAGATTGCGGCTTACTTGGAACCGTTTAATCTGTTCTTGAAGGTGTCAACAAAGTCAATTCATAGAGTTTACCATAATGCACGTTAGCTCAGTTACCCAAATGCCGTGACTATTTAATATAAATGATAGTAGCAGTAGAGAAAAACTTTATAATAGTGATTTTATCTAAATATAAGCAGTAACAAAATAAATCTTACCCCAATCCCAAGGCAAATCGATGAAATAAAATACCATCACAGCACAAAGTACAAACTCAAATGTCCAAGGGAGTAAAGAAAGTTTTATCACAGTAAGGAAGTGTTTTCTCAAGGCATGAGGGTCTAAATCCATTCCAGCTCTAATTAGAAGAATCGTTAGAGCAATTTTTCTGTAATGAGACAAAACGATGATTACCTTTTGTTTTGCAAATAATAGGCATTAAAGAATACTTACGTGGTCTTATTATGCACATTTCATGACAACGTTCCTGATCCTTAAAACTGGATCGCATCAATCATTTTGACCTCCTTGGTCGAGTGGCTTGCATTTTTTGGTGTCGTCATCTCTGAGGTCCTGGGTTCGATCCCCGACCGGGTCAACGTAGAAGAGTTTTTCTATATTGTCTCGGGTCTGGGTGTTTGTGGTACCGTTGTTGTTTCGGATTTCCATAACACGAGTACTTTAGTTACTTACTTTGAGATTTTTTTTGATAAATAAGGAAAAATAAACACGAAAGTTCTCATTAGTAGGTACCAATGTCAAAAAAATTCACAAAAATCAAAAACTTTCACCTTTTATGTGGTATCAATTTTCATTTGTCACGAATTACGATAAAACTGACAAGATAAAAATAACTGTGACCAACTATAGGATCAAATTCAGGACTTTACTTCCGTGAACGACGGAACTTGGCCATTTATAACCTTTTCGAGGCGAGAGTAAATAGGCATTATTTAGGTGAGCATGCTCCGTCGTTCGACCTCGTCGTCACTTTCCATCAATGGGGACGAGGTGGTGGTCAAATTTTTATGTGCATTTATTTTTTAATAAAGAAAAAATATCCAAAATTACAAATATTTTAGAGAAAATTACAGTACCTGATATAAGAAACCACAAGTTGATAATCTTTATCGAAATGAACAAATCCAACGTTCTTCATTATAACTCCCATTATCAACATTCCTATGAGAGCGGGTAATGTCGTCGTTTTCTGTAATGCCCATCCACCTAAATGGGCTGCTAATGTAAGGATAGCTAGGGTGAATAACTGCCCTCCAGGACCTGCTGGTATTCCCATGACGAGCCATAGTGTTAACCAGAATAAGAGACCTGTAAAGAATAAAATTGGCATTGAATTTCATGAATGAATTGTGTTCTGACAATGCCTAAAGCATCATTTCTGTCCCGAAATTCGTGAGTATTCTCATTAGATTCGCAAATTCCGGAATTGAGGCAGAAACTATGTGAAGGGATTTGGATTTTCAGCATTAATAAGAAACCTACTCCTGCTTCTGAAGAAATATATATATAAAAAAAATAATTAAAATTTGACTTCATCACTTAATAACCAAGTTCATCTCAATTTGTTACATATCTTAGTTATTTATAAAGTTTTGAAAAAAAACGTAACTTTCTCTTCTTCGAATAAAATGCATGTAAAAATACATTTACCGCTATCATTTTAATGACTTCTTTCATCACTTGTTTCTTTTTTATTTATAAAAAATGGTCATACATGTTTATGATTTTGATCCAGATTTTATATCATTTAAAACTACTTAATTATTAAGAAAAGAAAGAAAATTTACTTAACAAAACCAGTATTTTTTTGTGAACTGAAACGAAATGACGAAAAAAGACCATTTTTACGTATTTCATAAAATCTATTTTGGAAAGACTGCTTGACTGAAGTCAGCCTAGACCATGGAACCTATAAATGTCCTGAAACGTTAGTTTAAAAATACAAATACACGGGATTTAGATCCGAAAAAAATATTTTCATTTACAAAATCTATTTTGTAAAAAAATCCTTATTGCTATCTAAAATTACAAATAAAGTCGTTAATATTAATTCTACGAAAGTGTTATTCAGTAGAGACCTTAAAGTTGAATCATGTCAATCTTGTTTGACATAAATCTTGTTTGTGATTGATCTACTAAAACTAGTTTGAAGAAATTGATTTCATTTGCATAAAATGTGTGTCACCGTTTATTTCAATAACGACGAGACACCTTGATTCATAGACAGCAAAGTCATATACATTCACTTCCTGGAATACAATGACAAACACAGTTGGGTAAATAATAATTATTAATAATAAAACTCATGGAAATGCAACTAATGTGAATAATTATATCCGATGTAGAGTTGCGAATGGCAGTGTCGATTACCTTAAACATTTTACTTTAATTGGACTAGTGAACTCAAAATAACTCGACAATGACTAATATTTTAATCGGTTGCGTACTAAAATCCCTCTTTGTCATAACTAACGCATATGTATTTCAGTAGCAGTAGAGCTCCTTGTGAAAGAGTTCGTCCAGGAAAGTAATGTCAGCATTACTTTTCCGGTTTTGAAGGGTAACGGTGAAATTACAGTCACATGGGACTTGTCAACTTATGTCTCAGCGGGACGGGCGCAATAGCAGTGCCCCTTAGATCTTTGCGATTTAAAGCTCTGAGTGGCATTGCAACTGTTATGGACAGGCGTGTAGCTTACCATCAGGTACGCGACTTGTTCGTCCCATCACTTGATGTTATAAAACAAACTTTCGATATAGTGGCACCTTATTTTTTTGCTAACAGAAAGAGAAAAAATGTCAATTACACTGATTTTGCTTAACAGCAACATTGAAACCAAAAAAGATATAAAAAACCTTTTATGGTCGTAGATCTCATTTCGCTTATCCCAGATATTGCACACGAAACCTAACACTGTTGTGACTGAAAATTGTGAATAGAGAAAACGCGATTTGAAAAATAAAAAAATACTGAATGAAACCAATATAACGCACTGTGAATACAATAGTGTTTTAACTCACAAAGTGTCTCAGAATCGATGAAAAATTAATTACGCACTTCCACTTTTAAGATTATTAAAATATACGTATATATTTCCTACTTGCCAAATACATTTAAAAACAAAAAGGAAAAAATAATTTCATATTTTCGAATGAGGACTGTTTTGGCCAAAACTGGCTCACATAAAGTGTGTTTCAATTTGGGACATCTTCTAATTGTTTCTTGATAATAGAGAATAAAATTTTACATTCAGTAATGATATAATATTAAATTCCATATATTTTAAGTTACAATACTATTGTAAAAACAGTGCGATATATTCTCGTTTATAAATGGATAATCAAGTATTACGTTTAAATGAAATAAATCACATTATTCGCAGTAAGATCATCAAATTGTATTTTCTCAATTCCACAATTTTGAGTCACGACAGTATATGGTTTCACGAATTCAATTCCGCAAAAAAATCGATTACGTTATAACTAACTGCGTTATCATAACTGATAACGAAGGCTAAGAGATATAGGAGAGTTAAAAGAGGTCGTACGAAAGAAATTGTTTGCTAACCTCTTGGTAACAAAATATTTAGTAATGCTGCATTTGAGCTTTCGTCAGTCTACAAGTCAATTTTAATTGAAATGTTATGCGTTAAGGCATGCCGTAATGCAGTTAAGGTATCATAATATCAGATATAAGTCTTTTGTTATTACTCGCCCTTAAAGTAAAAAGGTCACATCTGCAAAATGACAACTTTTTAGGAGAGGTTTAAAGATTCTACGAACGAAATTAGTTACTTTTAAGATCAAATAGGAGAGATACAAAATTTCTTTTAAACATAATTTGTTTCATGTAATTTGTATTATTTTGATGATATTTATGTAATAGGAGCACCTTTCACATATGGGACCCTCCCTACTCTTGAAATACGAAATTCGTAGTAATGGCCATTTTCCCATTATGAATAACCTAAGGGACTATTCTAGAAGTCCGTCAACGAAAAAACAGGCCCGTTCGAATATGTCAAATCACATTCCGATCGAAACTCAAGTGTGTAGGTCATCCATTACGGATTTCGAGCTTCCAGTGTAGTGCTTATGATTACATATGGCTTTGTTATACCAAGAATAATTAGTAGTATACTGTATGGCTTGGTCTAATATATTTTTTTACGATATTTTCATGTAAGTGGTAAGTGGACCCCGTTGTAACCCTTAACATTCATTATTTCTTTATTCGGTTTTTTATTGCGTTTTTTGCAAAAACTAAAGCGAACTAGCATGAACTTCATAATAATGCCTTTAAACTGTACCCTAGACGCGAGAGTAACAAAGATCTTCATAGATAGACATAGAAATATGAGTATGTGCAAATAAAAAAGATAAAGATATCCCTGATTTCACGTATGACGCGAATGAAGCTGAATTAGAAAGGAAATAGACCCCCAGACTCTAGAGACTGTTATAAATTATAATTATGAGAATATTTTTCCACTGGTTACCTATCAGTAATCCGAAATGACATTTTCCAGAAATAACGTTTGCTCGAATTTTCATAACCTCGAAAGTAATTTTGAGAGGAAAATGTTTTTTTTAACGGGGGGAAATGCTTTATGCATACCCTCGAGTCCCGGGAGGCTCGAGGGTTATGTGGGACTGACCCTCCAATGGAGGGCATACCTACTAAAAACCCCCCAGCGCACCCTCTTGGTCGGGTGTTGTGGGCAACGTGGAATCCCGAGGATTCGACCACAACGATGCCCCCTAAACCTAACTTAACCTAATCTAATCGTGAACCTAATCGTGTCTTTGCGATAAACATCAAATTATCCTGAAAGGACAACGGTTTCGTTATAATTCGGTTTTCAGTGTAATGAAAATCGAACAAACATTATTTCGGAAAAAAATCGAGCTTGTGATAGGTTACCCTTTCCACTATAAATCCAAACAAAACAAAACTACCTCCACTCTCGTCAAAGATTTTTTGCATAATGGCGGCCGCCCGGCAGCGTTCCGTTTAATGCCATTTTTTAAAAATTTCTTATTTCGATAAAATATAATTCTTAATGTAAAAAACAGTCATTTTCTAACAAAATATAATATTATCGAGCTTTTGGGTTTTCTCGATTGTTACACATAGGAAAAGAAACTATTTTTCCGAATTTAAGTCAACCGACCATGGGATCTGTAAAGGGTCCGAAACGTCGGTTTGTTTGAAAAAACAAATATACGCGATTTAAATCTGGAAAAATAGTTTAGTAATCATTTCCAAAATATAATAGTGTCACGATTCGCTAACAAGAGCGAATAGGCATTATTTAGATGTACATACACAATCGTCACTTTCCATCAGGTGAGATGGAGGTGAAATGCGCACTTATTTTTTTAACTGACTTCAAAAAAGAAGGAAGTTCTCAATTCGATTATATTTTTTTCGTGTGTGTATGTTACGAGATACTCCGGACTTATGAACCAATTTTGGTAATTCTTTTTTGTTGCAAAGAAGGTACTTCAGCATTGGCCACATTTAAATTTGAACAAAATATACCACCGCCAAGAGTGGCAAATTAGGGGATGAGTCCAGGTTCGCACATTTTCTCGTAACTGATTTCAATAAAACTTCGCAAATAGATATAATTCCACGTACTTTTGAGGTTGGTTTTGCTGTCATAATTATTAATAAGAAGAAAAAATAACGCATATAGTTTTCTTTTTAATTAGTAGAGTCTTAGTAAACAGGTAAACTATCTATAACCATATTATGTTAAACAAACGAGAGTGAACAAAAGAACACAATTTTTGAAGTCTCTTTAACAACGATTGCAAACATCCTTGCACAACATGTTTTGGTTTCCGTTAAATTCTCAGATATCTATACAGATGGTCTTTTAACTCAACGGTAGCCTTGGCATGATGTGATAGAAGTAACCAATCACGAATGTCATAGACATTATTACACGTGTCCCGGTTATTGTGACACATGCCTTTATTAGTGTTTGTCAATATTTGTCGATCATTAACTATAGTTAACTATACGTATACATACGTAGCGAGACGTTGTCATTTATGTCTTAACAATTCTTATTATTTTAAGGTAATTTGAAAACTTTCCACGAATTCTGTAATTAAAAAAAAGATTTGTGGAAGATCTGTGAATGATAATAATTTTATACTTGATATACTAGTGGAAGAAAGTATGGGATTTTGGATAAGCAACTAAATTGGACCACCCTCATATCACAAAAAAACTGTTTTGTAATTGTTTTATTGGCATAACCCAGCGATGTGCGTCTAACTTCATTGCATATTCGCCATGTTGTTTTCGTTGTGATATTGAACGTCTATGTTTTGTTTTGAAATTTTTTTGTTATTTTTAACGTAAATTCCATAGATCCATGCTAAGTGTGTAGTTAACTTAAAGGTTAGCATACAGTGTTTGTAATTTAAAGTATAGAAGTATAATTTATCTACAATCAACTTACACGAAACGATTGCCGGAACTTATAGGCTATATTTATTACATTTGTTTTTATAATATAATCATACTATTGATTAAATGGATCAAGGGTGTGAAATGTATGGATGTTCAAATGGTCTTTGACGATTCAGATAGCAACCTCAGATCAGGACAAGGATAAATAATGTGCTAAATTCAAAAGAAATTTACATGATTAAGAGATCCCACGTTGATTGGACACAGTGTTCGCGGTTGCATAATCGGAATCAAGAACCATGTACCCAAAATCCTGACATTTGCGATAATTGTCACATATAGACTAATCATTATATACTATTTTATATTATGTTTCATTGTAATTTTTAATTTGTTTTACCTCAGAGCCTATTGAACTTTAATTTAGCGACTACATAGTCCAAACTATAGAACAAGTCGGCTTAATTGGAACAAAGCTCGGATTTCATATTTTATTGATTTTTTAGATGTCTTTAAAGATGTGTTTAAAAATATATATTTAAAAAGCGTTTGAATATAAATGGTCCAAATTAACAGACTTTCACCTATTAAGCACATATTAAAGTAACCAACTTTGTTAGAAAAGAATAATAAAAGATGAACTTTTTTTACTTTTCCAAGTCATATATGTCCTATGCAGTGTTATATAATACGGTATTTTCGCCCTGAAGAATGCTGGCAATCAATATATATATTATGCCTGGCAGTAAGCGACTAAAGCGACACGACTGTCTATGGCCGTTGCAATGTCACTCAGAGCTTCGTGATCGAGAAATCGCAAAGATCTGAGTGACACTTCCACTGCGCCCGTCACCCTGAGATATTACTTGACAAGTCCTATGTGCCTATAATTTCACCAGCACCTAAGAGTAACCTTCAAAATTGGAATGTCGCAATATTTATATGCTTGACGGCAACAATAGGTACGGGGCAGTCGTTCACTGGACGAACTCTTTCACAAGAACCTCTCCTGCTGCTACGAGTATATTATATACCTACTTATGTAAATATCAGCTTTTGTTTTAGTTTTTAGCAAGTTTAATCTAGTGACGAGATTAAATATGTTAAAAACCAAAACAAAAGCTGATATTTACATTACAACAAAATTCTTCTCAAATCAAGCTTGAACAGTTTTGACCTAGATCTTGTGATAAGTAAATTCACCGTAAAAAAAACGTTTACTTAAACTTGCTTGTGTGTGTTTTTTTAAATTTTCAGCTCTAATTTATACATTTACGGATAATGCGTTTTTTCCTCGCTATAACTAATATTTCCCTATTGTTATTGCATACCTTTAATATAAAATTAGAAACAAATTTTACAAATTTAAAGTTTCGATTTATTTCTATATTAGATTTAAATGTTATAATTATATATAATGTTAAGGGATAATAAGTTATCCTCAGTAGTCCGAAATGACATTTTCCAGAAATACGTTCGCTCGAATTTTCATAATTTCGAAAGTAATTGTGAGAGGAAAATGTTTTTTCTTTTAAACCTAACCTAACCTAAACTAACCGAATCTAATTACGTATTTGCGATAAACATCCGGTATCCTGAAAGAACAACGGTTTCGTTATAATTCGGGTTTCGGTGTAATGAAAATTTGAACAAACGTTATTTCGGAAAAAAAATTCGAGTTTGTGATTGGTTACCGGGATAATATATGACTGCCACTAATATAAACAATAACAATGAAAGCGAAAGGTCCGGAGCCATTTTATCAAAAATCATCACTGATGTATCAATTTTTGATCAAATTTTGTGAATACACCGTTAACACGTGATGTTTTTTTAAAAATCCATCTACAGGACTGACCTTTTTTATGCCTCATATATATGGTTCTTAGTTCGTTTCACCACAACTTAGGTCTAAATAACACTAACTTCTGTAACATATGGACTATAAAGGTTACTTACCTATAGTACACAAAGTTACTAATCTAGCAACTTTACGAAAAGAGGGACAGAATGGACGAGGGCACACTTTCTGCCAATTCGGAGGCTCCCAGGACGGTATACCAACATCTTCTTGATGGCATTTCTGACAACATGCATACCACCATGATCTGTCGGATAGATAAATAATTTTAATCCACGTTGTCACAAAACTTATTTAATGTATAAAATGACAGAACGAACAAATGTATGCCTGGTGGTAAGTTAAACGCCTGTCCATAACAGTTGCAATGCATAACATACATATGCATGACATAAGTTGACAAGTCCCATGTGCCTGTAATTTCACCAACACCCTTACCCTTCAAAATCGGAACGCACGAACGCAAATAGGTAAGGTGGCAGTACTTCCCTGAACGAACTTTTTCACAAAGTTATATAAATAAATATTAGACAACATCAAATACGTTGCTCTGATCCCAAAGTAAGTAGCTAAAGCACTTGTATTCCGGAAATCGGAAACAACGATGGTACCACAAACACCCAGACCCGAGATAATATAGAAAAGTTAGTTTTCTACACTGACCCGGCCGGGGATCAAACCCGGAGCCTCTGAGATGGCGATACCATGAAAGTCGGTATGCAAGCCACTCGACCATAGAGGCCGTCAAAGGAGCTCTATTGCTATTAAATTTGATTATATTATGATTTGTCAAAAGTCATGGAACGAAAGTAATTGTTGTTTATGAAGCTAGTCATTGTTGTTTGTGAAGCTAGTCAGTCCTGGAAGGTTGTTAATATTTCAAAAATGACCTTGTATAGAAATTAGTGTCAAAAGTGACACGCCAGCCAAGTGGGTACCTAAACGAAAAATTTTCTTAAGAATATGATCATAACATAGGTACATGTTGTTTCTTTGTGTAACGTCTACAAAACATTGACACTTGAGACAGTTGCTATGATAACAAGTGCAAAGGTTCAACATTCTTCGTCGTGTATGAAAAAATATGCAAGTAAGATAGTTTGTAGACTAAACTTAAATAATGAATGTCACAGCTCAATGCCATAAGTTAGTATTCAGAATTTAGATTCTGCACATATTTTCTTCTAATATATAAGTAACAAATATTCAAAAAATTTTCTTCCTGGGGTAACAGTATTGGTTTCTTGCTCTTGTGGTTGTATACACATAGTGCTATTTACATTATTCGCAAAACTACACATTTGTAGCTACTTCGTCGTCAATTTGTAAAATTTTGGTTGATAGGTGCTATAGATTTTGAATATAATGTTCCCTATTTGTCTTTAAGTAAAGAGAAACTTTAAAATTTTTAAGTTTTCTGACCACAAAAGTTAAGTTTTTCCAGAAGAAAGTTTTTTCATGTTTTCATGTTAGAATAAATCAGAAAATGATATCGATAACCTAGAAACTAAAATCGTGTTACAGTGCTATCTTTTTGCAAAGCTACTTTTACTTTACATAATGATTCATAGGTTATTCAGTAATTTCCAATCACATTATACTAAAGTAAACATGTAACAAGTTATGTTGAAAAACATTAAAGAAATTACTTAGGAGTATGTTCGAAATCATAAAACACAATTGAATTGCGTGTCAAGATAATAGAAGTATTGTGTATTGTCGTTTTAGGTGTATTTATATTAACTACAATGCAACAAGGTAATGAAATAAACAAGTTCTCTTATGGACTTTACTAATAACAGTACGGTACGCGTTATACTGTAACGGAAAACGAATAGAAATCTATGTGATGGAAAATATTTACAAAGTATTTGAACATGCCTGAGATTATATTATCGCGTTGACGTCGAGTTTCCGGACACCAGCGCGTACCATACCATTGTACTATCGGTAATAAAGGCATCAAAAATCTCGAAGAAATAAAAAAGACAACAGCCGCCGCGCAAACGTTTGTTGGGTGGGTTTGGTGGGTAAAATAAAATATGCGCTTCTAGTTGCCGATTACTTGGCAACTAGAAGCGCATATTCTATTTTCAAATAAATTGCGGTTGCAGCAACCGGCGACAGTATCCTACTGCTGCAACCGACGACTGTGTCCGGTTGCCGCAACTGACGACTGTGCCGATTTCATACTCTCCTCCTCTTCCTCCTAACATAGTATACCTCATTACTGAGGGTCCTGACTACCCCGTGGAAACAAGCTCCTCGTGACATCGCTGTGTCATCTGTGGCGGTCTTTGGCATAGTAGAGCGCATCACGGGGACCCATGCCGAGAACCGTACAAACTTGATCGGACAAACTTATGGGACAGTGACCCTTCGGACGTTTGCAGTCGATTCGTACGGTGACCATTAGCTGTTCAAGGTATTGGATTAGCTGTTCAAGGTATTGTATGAAAATAGAATATTTGCTTTTAGTTGCCGGTTGCCTGTATCCAAGACACACGTTTGTGCGGCGCCTAAGAACTTAAAACTGTCAAGAACTTCACAGTTACATTGAAGAAACAATAACCGTATTGCCTCTTTAAGATTTAGAAAATATTTGCGAGCAAACCTGGCTCAGAAGAGACAAAGATTGTTCTCCTATATACCATAAAATTGCTGTAGGAATTTGGTCGGCGTCGGTAACCAGCACTTTTGGATTCTGCGAGAAACAAAAGACTCACCTTTCTACATGCTCACTTTGTTGAGTTTTCTTAGAGTAAATAGTAGAAGTTGTTGAGTATTTTTTAAACCGTCCCTCTATGTGGTGTTGGCGATCTGGAACCAAGATTGCGTTTATTATGTAATTGAAAATGTTTACAATTTACCTTTTATACACGTTTTGTAGTAAATTAGCTTTACATCCAGAGCCAGTGTATTGCTCAACGAGTTTCTGGTTCTGTGGCCCTACCCTCGAAGCACGAAATCCATAATTTTCCCACTATGGATGACCTACGGACTTGAGTTTCGATCGGGGCTAGAACTAAGAATGTATAACAACGCCATTTGACAATTTCGAACGGGCTCGTCTTTTCGTCGACGGATTTTGAGAGTACCTAGTTCTATAGATCATCCATAGCAGGAAAACGGCCATACCTAAGAATTTCTTGCTTCAAGAGTAGGGCCCCAGATCTGGGAGACCGATGTGTTTGCCGCCAAGTGGCGTATCCTCTCAAGACGCTTTGTAAATTTAAGATAAGTGTTAGATTGTAGTCAATTTTGTAAACTGATCCGTATTTGTCTCCTTTCTTAACTGCATTTATTTATTTTAAGTACTATTTTGTAGGTTTAATATTATTTGTACTTTTTCTTTATTAATTTGGGGTTTTGTTGAGCGCTTTGGTTTACGTTGTAAGTCTACAAGAATGTGTCCTTCATAAACAAACAAACAATCCAAATAGGCGATTTATTTTCGAAAATCATGAAGAAAAAATTAAATACATGTTTATATTGATATAAAAAAAACAGTGTTTTCGACTGTCCAATTTATTAATAATGTGTCTCAGTAGGGCTAGCACGATAAGGCGCGACTTGCGCGAGAGCGACAAAAAGCGCGAGACTAAGCCAGAATAGCAGTATCTCGCACCTTATGTCGCTCTCGCGCATAGTCGTGCCTATCGTGCTAGCCCTACAGGTATCATATAAGTATTTTCAGCAAGTCTTGAATGCAACTACATAAAGATTTTGGCAAAGTCGTAACAAAAACGTGACGAATGACTTAGTTAGAACACATCCGATATGTTTGTGACCAAAACCATATATCAGTTCAACGTAACAAAGACTCATTTTAGAACACTGATTGATACCAGTTCATTATGTGAGTTCTACGAGTCATGTTTTCTTTCATCTTTTGATTTAAGTCTTTAATTTTTTACTGCTATTCAATAAATACACACCAAAAACGCTTTTGATCATTATTTCAAGGAACAATTAGTCATGACACAGAGTGTATTGATTTGTCATTAAAAAATGACCTGAATGTATTTTAGGGGTACAGTCAAAAGCGACAGATTTGCGCAGAATTACAATAAGGCCACCTTAGTACCATCAAGAGCAAATTTGTACACCAAGACGATTACAACTCATTTATAAGAGCTTGTTAACTATTATTGAAGTCATATGATATTATTATTAAAAGAACACAATGTTTATATTTAATGCGTCGTGGTGCAAAACGTGATTGCCGATTATAATATTTTGTATTAAATTCTCAAAACTTTAATACTTTGAACTTAATGTATATTAGTCATAAGGTATGTTTGTATTTAACTAAGGTATGGGATTAAAATTACATTTGAACAATTCTATTATAACTTTAGAAATCAGTAACACTAATGGGCCAATAATAAAATTTCATTTTTGACCCTTTTTCTATTGATTAAGTTCTAATTTTAATGTTTAACTAGTCGATAACAGTAAAGGTTCACTTTATTTATCAGCACCATACTAGCCTCACAGTAAGCTGTAAAAGCGATTACGTGCGAATATTTTAAAAATATATTCTTATGTAGAGTTGCAAGAAAAGTGTTATTTTCCTAATCTAATTTTTGCCAAATTCCATTTATTTGCCACCCACACAAAAACAAAAACATAAAACATACAAAATTAAATGAAAAATCTCTCGCCAGGACTGGTAGCTGTAAAGGTACTAACTGGGTGATAAATCTGCAATAGATTTCTCATAGATGGCACTACGACTAAAAAGTCGTTGAAAGACCAAGTACAAAGACACGACGCAAGCACATAGAAAAA